TAGAGGAATCAAAGTGGTGGAACACGCTGCCCGCGTGTTACGCCGCTTTGCTCCCCGTCCCCCTGGTCTGTAGACCAGGGGGACGGGGAGCAAAGCAGAGCAAAGCGGCGGAACTGTCTGGGCTGGGCTGCCCGTCTGGGCTGTCCGCTGCCCGCGTGTTCTGCTGCTTTGCTCCCCATCCCTCTGGTCTGCAGACCAGGGGGACGGGGAGCAAAGCAGAGCAAAGCCGCGGAGCACGCAGACAGCCCAGACAGCCCGCGTGTTCCGCCGCTTTGCTTCTTCTCCCTGGTCTGCTGGAGACCAGGGAGAGGGCCCCGTTAATAACTGCGGAGTAACTCGGGGACTGCCTGTAGTGGTTTTTATTACTGTAGCCAGAGGAGACCAAAAGTCTCTGAGCATGTGAAGGTCTGCCCCTCTTTGCAGAGTGCTAGGGTTTGTGGCCCCTGCAAGCTGATGGGGAATAGATGTCCTCTGATGTTTTTGAGAGAAGAAGAGGCTTATTGACTGACTGCCCTCTCTCCAACTAGATTTCCCCCAATTACTAACAAATGGCTTCAGCACTTCACAGGGGTCATTGTCCTTTAATCCTAACTCAGTGAACAAACCAAGTGTGCTGCTTCCTACAGAACCATGGGCTCCTTCATTAGCTGTGGGGCAGCAGAGAGGAGAAAACATGGAGGGAAGCCTCACTTCCCCTCCCTCTCTCGTATTTAGTCAGGGCAATTGGTTGCTGTAAAAGACAGCTGTTCCTTTGTTAACCTGGATGGAATGAGCACATCTGGAGAGTTGAGAGCCTGAGAATGCAGATCTGATTCCTGCATGGCAGCCAAAGTCCTGTCGTCATGCTCCTTTTGCCCAGATTAAGTATTTGTCTACACTACAGCTGCTGTAGCAATAGCTAAATCAGTGGTTTCCAACCTTTTAAAGCATGAGATCACTTTTTGAATTTAAATGTAATCTAGGATCTACCTCAAACCCAAATACTCTTGCCCAGCCTCCTTCCCGCCCCTCCCCTGAGGCCTCATCCTGCTCACTCCATCCTCCCTCCCCCATCCTCACTCACTTTTATCAGGCAAGGGGAAGGGGTTTGGGGTGCAGGACTGGGTCCGCGGTTTGGAATGCAGGCTCCAGCTGGGCATCACTTACCACAGGTGGCTCCTGGGTGGTGGTGCGGGGGGGCTAAGGCAGGCTCACCCCTACCCTGGCCCTGCACCACTCCCAAAATCAGCCAACAAACTCTTTTCATCCCTGCCCCCTCTGCTCTGTGGAGATGGGGTAGAGGGAGGGGCACCCTGACATTATCACACACCCCCTTCCTCTTCTTCCCATGCCCTGCATAACAAGCAGGAGGCTCCCAGGGTGAGGGGCAACTCCAAGGCAGAGGGCAGGAGCAGCATGGCAGTGCTGAGTGGGGCAGATGAAGTGCCGTCGCTTGACAGCCTCTGGGCCAAACCCCAGCCTACCAAAGGCTCCAAGATCATCTAGTAGATCCTGATCTACTGATTGTTGACCACTAAGCTACAGTGTTGCAGCTGTGTTTCTGTAGCGTAGACACTTCCTACATGAACCGGAGAGAGTTTTCTCCGAAAGGTGATAGCTGGATCAATGGGAGATTTCTTCTTCAACTTAGCTGCATCTACTCTGGTTGATAGGTCATCCTAACTATGGCTTTCTCAACATTTTTCACGGTCCTGAGTGACTTATTTAATTTTCAGTAGGGCTATCAATCAGTTAACTCCCATAATTAACTCAAAAAGTAATTGCAATTAAAAATTAATCATGATTAATCAGCGTTAACCACACTGTTAAAAATAAACTATCAATTGAAATATATTAAGTATTTTGGATGTTTTTCTACATTTTACAATGTATTGATTTCAATTACAACACAGAATGCAAAGTGTATAGTGCTCACTTTATTAAAATTATAAACAAAAGAAATAGTATTTTTCAGTTCACCTTGTACAAGTATCATCTTTTTATCATGAAAGTGCAACTTACAGACATAGTGGGGGAGGGGTAGTTACATAACTGCACTCAAAAACTAAACAGCATGAGCACCTACAAAGTCACAGGCAATCGCTTAGAGAAACAAGTCTCCAAAGTAACCTGAAAGTGAGAACAAGTGTTTGCATGGCACTTGTAGCTGGCATTGCAAGGTGTTTATGTGCCAGATATACTAAATACAGGCGGCCCCTGACTCGTGACGTGATCGGTTCTTGGGAAAGTGTTGTAAGTTGGGGGCTTCGTAACTCGACCCCGCATTTACGATAGGCGCCATGAGCCGTCATAAATACAGGCCAGTGACGTAAGTCGTTGGTTTTCGGCCCCTTCCACACTTACAAAAATGGTCGTAAGTGCGAGGGAGGGGGGAGAGTCGCAGCTCGGGCCGTCATAATGCGGGGGTTTCCTGTATTTGTATGCCCCTTCATGCTTCAGACACCATCCCAGAGGAAATACTTCAGTGCTGATGATGCTCATATAAAAATGCATTAATTAAATTTGTGGAAGAGAATTGTATGGCTGCTGCTCTGTTTTACCCACATTCTGCCAAATATTTCATGTTACAGCAGTCTCAGATGATGACCCAGCACCATTGTTTCCTCTAACCTTTTCCATCCATATGCAGAATAAATTGTATGTACATTGAGGCATTTGTAAATGTACACCATCAACAGAAACACAAAACCTAGTTGTGGGCACTCCGCTAATCAGCTGGGCATCATTTGAATCTCTCCTGAGCAGCTACACGAATGCCCAGTTTACAGGGAACATTGCTCAGCACATGTTTGTTTTAAGAAAACTTTCACTGAAGATTTAGCAAAACAAACAGAAGGCACTTTTGTGAGATTTCTAAATAAAATACAGCACTTAACCTGCAGTTTAAGAATCTGACGTGTCTTCCAAAATCTGAGAGTGAGGAGTTATGGAGAATTCTTTCAGAAGCCTTAAAAGATCAATGCTCCAATGCAGAAAGTACAAAACACACAGTACCAGAAAAGAAAATCAGCTTTTTGCTGGTGGCATCTTAAAATGAGCATGTGTTGGTCCTCAATGCTTAGGACCATTATGAAGCAGAACCCATCATCAGCATGGATGCATGCCTTCTGGAATGGTGGTTGAAACGTGAAGGGGCATATGAATCTTTAGCTCATCTGGCACACACATATATTGTGACACTGCCTACAAAAGTGCTATGCGAACTAGAGATGTTAAATATAGGTAATCAGCTAATCGAGTAGTGGATGGAATTTCCATCAACTACTCAATTAGTCAACAAGGGAAAACACTGCAGAGCCACAGTGGGGTTAGCTCCCAGCTCAGGAGCTAAGCCTGCCGAGCTCTGACTTTTAAATGTATTAAGAACCACCAGGCTCTTAATACATTTAAAAGGCAGAGGTGTAGTGGGGAGGGGGGACCAGACGCGAGCCAGAAATAAGCTGATTGCCGGCTCACTCCCAGTCCTCCCCTCCCCCCCACTGTGCCTCTGCTTTTTAAATTTATTAAGAGCTGCCAGGATCTTAATACATTTAAAAAGCAGAGGTGCAGCATCTGGGACTGGGAGTGAACTGGGAATCAGTTGATTCCAGGCTCGTGCCTGTCTCCCGCTATGCCTTTGCCTCTTCTATCCCCTTCTTCCCTTGCCCAAGATGGTGCTGGGGGGAACCAGGCAGCAAGGGGGGAAGCGACTTCAATTTTTATTACAAATATTTGCGTAAAAAATAAATAGTATATTTCAATTCCATTACAAGTATTGTAGTGCAATCACTTTATCATGAAAGTTGAACTTACAAATGAAGAATTATGTAAAAAAACTGTATTCAGAAATAAAACAATGTAAAACTTTAGAGCCATGGTGTCCAACATGCTAGTGAAGTCACTACTCGACTAGTCTCTTACATCCCTAAAGGCAACGTATAGTCTCACTTTCTGATGACATTATACACAAGAAGCAGGCAGCATTAGCTCTTGCAAATGTAAACAAACTTGTTTTTCTGAGTGACTGGCTGAACAAGAGGTAGGACTGAGTGGATTTGTAGACTCTAAAGCTGTGATGTCCATTCATTTCTGAAGCAGTGGCCAGTATAGTGGCTACTGCTAGAGTGAACCAGCCCCACTCAACTGGCCAAAGAGCCACATGTGGCTAGTGGCTAGCATGTTGGATACCATGGCTCTAAAGTTTTACATTGTTTTATTTCTGAATACAGTTTTTTGTACATAATTCTTCATTTGTAAGTTCAACTTTAATGATAAAGTGATTGCACTACAATACTTGTAATGGAGGAACTGAAATACTATTTTTTACACAAATATTTGTAATAAAAATTAATAAAAGGTTAGCACTGTACATTTTATATTCTGTATTGTAATTGAAATTAATTTATTGGAAAATGTAGTTTTCCACAATTTGTAAATAAGTGGTAGTTGTGGTAAATAGTGTTATTGTTTAACAATGCTACTAATTGTGTGATTTATTGTGATTAATTTTTTTAATTGCTTAACTTTAGAAGACCAAATAACCTTGTAATATTTAAACCACCCTTCTATACCCTGAGACTCTGACACTAGGATCTGATGTCTTTGTTTTGCTTTGGACCGGGCCAGGTATGTACTTCCCTAGATAGGATGGCTGCCGTCCTTCATAGGGGGATGAGATGCAGAGATCTTACACTGGGGGCACCTCAGGATCCTCTTCCTCGTCGCCTCGATAATTGTTAAACACATTTCCCAAAGCTTTAATCCCAAAGATTGACCTGTTTTTGCAGTAATTACATGACCCGGAACCCTGCCATGGTGACGTCTTTTGATGATTAGGATTCCTAAACCCGTTTTGCTGTAAGTGTGCAGAGATCTCAGTGGCTTCAGTGTGGAATTTAATCTGCTCACTCCAATTAATGTCCCATCTGCCAACTATTGTTAATTAATATCTATTTAACCCTAAGGTCAGAGGCTACCATCTTCTGAGGAGTCTAAATTGAGTGACTATCTAAGTTCAGCAACCTTCCTTTTGCAGCCTAGCCAGTTTTCCGTGGGTTTGTAATCTCTGTTACTATTGTGTTCAAGGCAATGAAGAATTCTCTTTGGCAGTAATTTACAGCACTTGGGTAGGCAGATAATCTGTTCCAATATATCAAATATTTCTGCTGGTTTGGATCCATGCATGTGATTTCATCCTCAGAATGATATCGAGGGCTTCATAACATTGATAAATTCTGTTAGTCTTGCATATGGAGTAGAGCTCTCAGCTCATGTGAGAGATACAGTTGAGACTTCATGGAAGTTTACACCTCTCATGAGCATCAGTGATGTGAAATGCAAGACTCCCTAGCCTTACATGCTGCTGTTAGGAATTATTTTTCCTGATCATATTATTTTTCTCATCTTTTGTTTTTAGATTAAGAAAATTCTCAGAGATGAAAATTTAGGATAGTTAATTAAAAATATATTGTCCTCATACCTTTAATGTAATCCTAGAATCATAGAATACTAGGACTGGAAGGGACCTCCAGAGGTCATCAAGTCCAGTCCCCTGCCCTCATGACAGGACCAAATACTGACTAGACCATCGTTGATAGACATTTATATAACCTACTCTTAAATATCTCCACAGATGGAAGTTCCACAACCTCCCTGGGCAATTTATTCCAGTGTTTGACTACCCTAATGTTAGTTTTAAAACACCTTAAAACAAAAACAAAACCTCTTAAAATATAATCCAGAAAATATGTATTATAACGTGGGTGGGAGGGTACATTCTCGATTGTCCAAATATGGCTATAATTGAGAGACAATGAAAGATACTGTCTAGGTGACTTAGCCACATAAAAACTAAGATCAGAAGTTCCTCACTATTACTTGGGGTTTCTCTTTCCAGGTTTTTATATAGGCACTCAGAGATTAGAGCAGTGGGCACCTCTGAAAAGTATAAATGCCAACAAGCTGTCCCCTCTTTTACTTCCCGTCACCCCTTCAGTGCCACCAAGAGCTAGACTTGGGTTTGGGGCCAGGGAGGAGATTATGAATACAAATGTTTGGGGAACAATGTGACTATTGCAGGCAAGCCTGGACCAGGAGGTGGGTATTGAATCAATCTGCAAATGCTGTGAGGTTAGTGGTCTAATCTTTCATCCAGTTTCCATAGTTTGGTGCTAGGAGATGTGAAGGTCACCAGCCTCTCCCCCTATTCACACGGTGTTCCAGTTCTTCAGTACTTTGATAGTATGGACCAGTAGATCTCAACCTATTTGCCATGGTGGCCACATAGGCAGCTGTCTGTGGGCTACATGGGCCACAGCCACACCATCCATAAATTAGCAGTGTGGCCCTGGGGTTGTCCTATGGGCTGCAGCTGTGTGCTGATCGGGCTGCAAGCAGATTGAGAACCACTGAGGTGGACCATGTAGTAAGAAAGAGGGTCTCACAGACACCTCGTCTTCTATTCAGGGCAGCAGGAACCACCTCCCCTCCAGCTGGAAATGCAGCCGTTGCTTACACGGAGAGCTACTGTGGAGCAGTATAGAATTTGAAGGGTTTTGGGGTGTATTTAATGTTACCTGATAATGGGAAATAAAGCAGCAGCAGCTTTCCACAGGCCATCATTGGAGAATCACTGCTATAGCCATTTCTTATTCACAGCATTGTGTCAGCCTCGTTTCACAAGAGTTCTCCAAATGCTTTAATTTCACTCATGTCTCTCTTTCCGCAGAGGCTGGTTTTGCTGTCACAGCCATATCTCGAACCCCTGGGGTGACCTACAATGAATCATTTGACCTCCAGTGTATCATCAAGCCGCACTATCCATCCTGGGTCCCAGTGTCTGTGACATGGCGCTTCCAGCCAGCGGGCAGCACAGAATTCCATGACCTGGTCACCTTCACTCGGGATGGCGGGGTCCAGTGGGGGGACAGGTACATGGGTTTCCGGACCCGCACTGCCATTGAAAAAGCTGAGTCGAGCAACAACGTGCGCCTCAGCATCAGCCGGGCCAGTGACACTGAGGCCGGCAAGTACCAGTGTGTGGCCGAGTTGTGGCGGAAGAACTACAACAGCAGTTGGACACGACTGGCAGACAGGACCTCCAACCTGCTAGAGATCCGAGTCCTGCGGCCAGGTAAGAGCCCTCACGGTCATATGTCCTGGAGGGCGGTGTAGGGATTTTTTTGTGAGGAGGGAAAGTTACAAGTGCGGTCTTGTCCCAGTTCTTCCTTGGGAAACAGAACATGTTTTTCACCACAGAACCAGAGTTTGACACACACAGCAGCTGCAGTGCTACCCAGCAGAGGTCTATGACTGGAATAGCAGGAGTGTCGCAGGGCAGGTTTGACGCGCACTGGTAGAACTGTGTGTTGGCCCAGAACTACAACAGTGGGAGAGAGTCTGGGTCAGGATTAAGGTGTGCTAGCCATAGCAGTGAGAGGAGAATATGTGCGTAGCTCCTGCCTGTGCTACATCTGGCTTCAGCCATTCCTCTTAGAACTCACTAAGTGACAGGACTGCAGTCACTCCCATGACTCACATTCTTCCCTTCCCCCGCCACGGGCAGACACAAAAACCTCCCTAGTTCTAAGCACCGTTAGCAACTGTGTGATTATACAGATATGGCTGGGCAGGTGGTTGGCAAGGACTACAAACAAACACCTCAGACCTGCACATTGTATGTACTGTCAGTGCATGTAACTCTTCCTTCCTCTCACTTCTTCCCTCTCTTTAGTTCCTCCTGCTGCATCTCAGAGCTTACTCTAGCACAGAGGGGCCCTGATCCTGAATATTGCTGTACTTATCTTCACTTGTGCCCTTTCTGCAGGATTTTCCTCTTGTCACTGGCTCTCTCCTGCTGTAGTTCTTTGTCATAGTCAAATCTCTTTGGCTTGAGTGGGAGAGAGGAGTCTGAAGGTTTCTTGCAAACCCCAATGACCCTCTTGCAGTCCTGTGGCATTCAGAGCAGGGCTGAGCTATTGACCCAGCTAGACGTGGTGGGGAGACTTGCATCATATTAGTAGAGCCCTACCCTATTCCAGTCCCTTCTTCCTTCTAATCCCTCTTCTTTGTGTGACTTCGAAGATGAAGTTTGTCAAAACCCAGCCTCCTGTTAGCAGAAGTAGAAGAGACGTGTGGATAGACTTCTGAATGGGAGAGGACGTTTGAGACTGGCAAGGTGGAACTGGAGGGCTGGGCTGGTGGATGCAGGGAGATTCCACAACAGGTTGCACCTCTGTAAACCAGGACCTGCTGGTGATCAGAAAGTCCTGGCACGCTGCAGGAAGCGGGGTGGGAGGGCAGCAGCCTGGCGCGATGCAGGGGTGTGGGTGGGACTCTGGCACGCAGACCAGCAGGGCTGCGGGGTGGGCGGGAGTTAGGAAGGCTGGCTCACGATTGGTCAGAGCAGGGGCAGGATGCCCGGCATGTGACCCAACTGGGCTGCCAGGGGAGCCAGAAAGCCTGGTGGGGGCAGCAGGGCAGGGGGCGGAGCCAGCAGGATAGGGGCCAGAAATGACCTCCCTTGGTCCAGCAAAATCCCTCCTCTGGGACCAGTCAGGACCCCGGGGTGCTGGACCAGGGAGCTCCAATCTGTACATTCCCATTGTCTTTTCAGGCTGTGCATCTCCCTGCCAAGTGTTTGGTAAAGGGAGTTTGATGATTCAGAGTGTGACATTTCCGAGCAGCATGCAGATGCGAGATGTCTATGGGAGTCAGGCAAGGACAGCAGATGGTCTCTGTCAGTGGCATGCTCAATGGGTAGCTATGTTGTGGTCTGTACAGGCTAGGGCACTGGAATATGACTCTTGGCAAAAAGCTCATCAGCAGAGCTTGGGCTGGTATCAAATTGCCAGTGTCCTCATGTGGATTAACATATTTATTTACCTTTCTCCTTTGTGACTTGGGAATATGGTCCTTTGGCATTGAGTGCACCCCGGACTCAAGAATCAGGAAGTGTTTTGTTCTCTAGATCCATACCAATGAGGGCTGGGGTCCTAGCAAACCCACTAGCATTCCTGTCCTTAGTCACTCAAGCGCATATGCACGAACACACACAGGTAAAGGGCCTCTGGTTTCCTCCGAGGATGGCAAGTGCTGAGCCTGCAGAACAGCCAGGGGAAGGGCCCCTTCATCCAAAGGGAGGCAATGAGGGGCAAGGGGAATTTTGGCTTGCTCCATGGCACAGGCCTATGGGGATGTGCTGGCTAGCAACTCTAAACTGTAGGAAGGCTGGCAGCCACCACTGGGCTAATTCGCTGTTTGAGAAGGGGATTGGTCTGCAGAGATGGACAACAACTTCCCCTTCCTCTTCTTACCTGGCCCCAATGAATAAGAGCTCAAGTGACCTATTCTCACCTGCACCCCCACCTGCCCGGGGCACCGCTTTTTCAGTCTGCCCGATGCCAGCTGCTTTCCTGTCCCTCTCCTGGTATCTAGGTGTCGGGGGCAGAAACTCTGTCACCAGTCCATCTGGAATTGGCCACCTCATCACACCCCAGTGACCGTGCACAAGAAAACGTTCTAGCAACAATATGTTGCTGTTTGTGTCCTGTGTACAGGGGTCATTAAAGCCAAAAATCACGAATGGTGTCCTTTGCCTTCTGGCAGCCACACGTCCCCCTCTCCACCGCCTGACTGGTCGTGGAGGCCACGGTAACTGCAGGCCAATAGCTTCTAATAAAAGTGCAGCAGCACCTGCTGCCATGGATTGATTTTTACCAACCTCCTCCTCTCTTGCCCTTCCCATTCCACCTCCCACCCCCTGCACTCCTGTCTGCTCTTTCATGAGTAATCCTGAAGCTTCTCCTCTGTAACCCCCCCCCCCCCCTTGCTTGGGTTTTGACAGTAATGAATGTGGGAGGGGAAGCAGGGCGGAGGGGGAGATATCAGCTGCCATCTCCAGGAGTTCCTTTGCAAGTCTGGCCCTGGCAGATTGATTGACCTGGGAGCTGTCAAGCAAACAAGACAGCCAGGCTCTTCATTAGAGCATTAATTAGCAGCCAGAGGCTCTCTGGAGGCTGTCTCATAAAGTTTAAGTTTATTAGGAGCTGTCAGTATGAACCTATCAATGGGTAGGGGAGATTGTTCAGCAGAACTAAAGAAAAGCAAAGCTAGTCCATTAATGTTACTTCGAGAACACGCTTCACAGTGATGGTAAGGAGTCCTGAGACAGGCACTGAATACTCCAGCACTGCCACAGTACTAATAGTTTGCCTTCCTATAGTGTAAGTACAACAAGGAGCCCTTTGGCACCTTAAAGACCAACAGATTTATTTGGGATAAGCTTTTGTGGGCAAAAACCCACTTTGTCAGAAGCATATTTTTGCCCACAAAAGCTCATGCCCAAATAAATCTGTTAGCCTTTAAGGTGCTACAGGACTCTTCAGTTTTTAGAAGCTACAAATTAACACGGCTACCCCTCTGAGACTTCCAATAGTGTGTCTTTCAGAGGCTATATTTGGGGTGAGGAAGAAACAAAAGAAAGTTGTGGGGTGCATGTAACCGCCCCACGTGTCACTTCTAAGGATGCGGTGTCTTGTGTGACCTTATACCCAGCAATTAAACAAGAAATAGCAATTAGCTTGAGAACACGCTTAATTCTCATTGCAGAACTTCACATGAATAGCTCATCACGAGTCATCGGAGATGAATAAACAGGATGCTTCTATTTTATCAATACATATTAATGGCTGTAAGCATCTACCGCTTTCATTAGAAACATTGCATTGATGTTTTGGGTTTAAATGGCCAATTATTTTTAAATAGTTTTCCAGTTTAAATACTGCAACTTTCCGCAGTATAAATCACTCACAAATTAAGGGATTCATTTTAGCTGAAGACTTGAAAGGGCTTCACTTGAAATGCATTTCTGTCCTAAGGAGCAGCCACAGAGTTAGGAGCACCCGGGCAGCGGCGAGCCAGTGCCTTGGAGAGCCACTTGCGGCAGCCAGGCTCTGTGGGCAGGGATTGGCTCCAAGGGGAGCCAGCACTGGGCTCCTTCAGGGGAGATGCGAAGGTGGATCAGGGTATAACTCTTGTGGAGCAGGGTGAGGAGGACTATGCTGTCTCCCACTGTGCAGAGAGCCAAGGGCCCAAGCAGGCAGGGTGGATCCACCAGCTCTGGGCAGGAGGTGATGCTTTTCAGACTGTGGAGTACACCAAGCTAGGAGGTCACGTCCCATAGTTTTGAAAACCTTTATGGTGAATAATAGGTAGAAATCTGGGAGGAGGCACATGATCCCATGTCCCCCCTCACGCACACCTCTGGCGCCTTTCATCAGAGAGATTCTCAGAGCCCATTGCTAACATAATGAAGCATCCCCTCACCCCAGCCTTGCTTAGAGAGGCAAAACGACTTGTCCAGTGTGATGCTGTGCGCCGTTTACAGAGTTGGGAAATGGAACCCAAGCATCCTGGTCCCCAACCTCCTCTTCCTAGCCAATAGATACATTCCCTCCACCTTGACTGTCACTTTTACTGGTCAAGGACTTTGAAATTATGTTCATGAAGCAGCCACACAGTTTTCAAACTGCTGCTGCTCTGAGTGGACATGCCATCACACCGAGGCCCTATTTGCCACAGAGTACGATACAAAAGGACTTTGGGGCTTTCTTTCAAGAGTTGCTGTCTCTGGGGCTTTGTGCAGTGGAACAGCTTCACACGTGGCTCAGTGCAACAAGTATGATCCATAAGGCGTAATCTCAAGCTCTCTTTAGTCACTGAGATCAAGACTGGACACCATCTTAATTCTGCTCTTGTTTTGATCCTAAACCAGTTTTACTCTGTGCACTTTTATTCTGAAAAGCTTTGTGCGGCAGTGCACGTGCTTCAGTGATGGTGCTTGAGCAGGTCCCTACTTCTGCATGCCAAGAGTCCAGACACGGGAAAGGGGCTGTTGATTAACGGTGACTGGAATTGTGATGCAAAATGGCCTTCTCTCTGCTGGACACTCAGGGCCTTAATCCAGGAGTTCTCAAACTTTGTGATACCGCAACCCCCTAAAATGCTAACTGAATTTGTGGCACCACTCCACCCCCCACTCTCACTGCTCTGGGTCACTTCCTCCCCCCTTCTCACCGGCCCTCCTGGGGTTCCTTCAAGGCGTTTGCGGTCCTCAACGCCCTTCCCCCTGCA